CCACCCTTGACTCGGCCATCGACGGCAGCCATGTTGAACACAGAGCACAGCGAAGTGGTTAGCAGCGAAGCACAGCGACTACAACAATGGCTCGAGCCAGGTGGGCAGCAGGCTCTCAGATGGACTGCTTATAAGGCAAAGGGAATGCAGGATCAAGCAGATTGCTGCATCGCAGAGGGCGCAGATCACACATGAGCCACCCGGCAAGCATAGCAATGCTTCTTCAGTGATACGCCGACAAGAGTACCCCTGCAAATCAACCAGCAGGGCTTCAGAAAACTTGTGTTGACCTAGTACCCTTCGGAGTTCTGTTCCGTACAAGGAGCAGATTTGAGGTACTGGTCCGAACCTAGCAATGTCGTCTTGGAGGGTTGCTTGCAGGAGTGCCACAATAGCCCCAGTTCTGGGCCCGCACAATTATGTTGCCATGTTTCAGCGACACAAAAGAGAAGGAAAGACCATTTGACCACGAGCAAACCAGCGCCTTCGCCAGCGACGATGGTCTCTACATGGCTCGGCTGCATGACCAATCACCGAAGTGACGAGGCCCGTCGCCCATGGGTTAGCCAGGGCATGTCGGTTAGCAGGCTGGCATTGCCTTGGGGGCCTTGGGGTTGTGCATGCTCGCTACATTCCTGGTAATTACTTTGCTTGTTTCCTGCTTCTTGCTGCGTCCTCGTCCCGGCTAGCGAGAAAAGATGCCATCTGGTGTCAGTGTACGCAGTCCAGGCCTTGAGGTCGGAAAACATCTCTGCCAGCAGCACTGTGCTTTCGTTGGGAGCTGCGCAAAGCCACTTGCAACCAACTTGCCCCCGATGTCGGCTCCGTTTCTGTCCGCAAGACAGGCGTCAACTCTGGCCGACTGCGACTAGAGAGAATACCAAAAGCTGTATGCTTCAACAAACCACTTACAATGTGCGTGTTACACGTCTGCACTGCATGGATCACTGGTCGTTTTCTGTGTCCGTAGCCGGCTTCGTAGCTTGTTTGTTGGTTCGCAAGGTCAAAGCTGAAAGGCCTGAGCATCCGCTGCTTTTGGGTGAGACGTTGCGGGCTGGAGCGAGCGCGAAATTCGACAGTCAGCTCTCCGATATGACATAAATACAAACACCGCTGAACTATCACACTGGATTGCAGAGCGACTGTTCAAACTTGTCATGGACGACTGTTGCTCAGGCCGGGGTATGAGCAACCTCGAGGACACGGCCGCGCAACTGCCGCGACGGTTTCAAACGGTTAACTGCGGAGGGTGGTATATGCACTCAACGAACATCAACGCACGCTACAGAAGCCAGCAGCATCAGAACTGCATTCATAGCATTCTGCAGCCGGCTCAGGTCGGCACGGTTGCCGCTAGCCAGCTGCAGCCCATGCCGAGCGCACCTCTGCGAAACCAAAGAGCAAAGGCCCAAGGCCGGTCGGGCCGGGGCCCTCTCTCTGGCAATCCGAGCCCGGCACTCGGGGCTTTCGTCCTGAAGGACATTGCGCCGATATCAATTGACCGGACTGCCACAGGCTCAAGGCACTTGTGGGGCAAAACCTTTCCTGCTGCCCGTCGCCGCTTTGCTGCTGCGCCTCTTGAGGCTGGTCAAGTTAGAGGACCATGGTATGGTGCTCTTGATCGACGGAATGCTGTGCATGCTGCAAAGATCTCTCCAGAATTCGGTACTGTCACACGCAAGACATGCAAAAGTAGGGCGGCATGCCAAGAACGATTTTTGCGTGCTGGTCGCTGCTAGCTGTTGTGAAAGCATGCCCAAGCAAGCTTTTTGTTTTGGGGGCGACGGATACTCTACTACCAAACATCGTTTGCAGTCTTTCCGGGGTCCCAGCTGTCGGAGTCAGAGTCGTTGCCCACAGCAGACGGCCCTGAAGCCTTGCCATTGCCTGTGGCCCAGAGATGTTGAACGAAAACTTGGACACGGGTCAGCCTGCATATGCAAAATGCTCCTACATTGGTTCAGTCTCTGGGCCTCTTGGGCGCTGCTCCTGCTCCGTTGCATCGCTGCTTTTGAGTTTCCTGCGGCGACGAGACGCTGTGCGAACACGCTAGCTTCCAGTATGCTTCGGCCTCTTTAAACGTCAACCTACTATCACCTCCCGAGCTCAACATCCCGCCCCACACCCTCCTGAGGTTGTCGCGAGGAGCGCGCTTCTTGCCCACCCTGTTCGAAACTGTCTCACAGACGGGTGCGAGAAGGTCAAATGCAGTTTGTTTTCGGGTCTTGCGTGCGGAAGCAGAGTAAGCAGGGCATGAGAAACCTGCTCTTCCGTTTTGGCTCGTTCTTGCTGCTTTCACTCACACAGCACGTGCTTGGCTGCGCCAATGTTGAGGCACATGCTCTACCACTTGCCCACCGCTTCGCACGAGAGCCTCCTTGGTGGTCAAGGGCTAAAGCCAGCTCCAAGAGGCAATGCAAAGCCGACGCTTTGCATAGACGTTTACGCAAGTGGCATAACTATAGGCTGAGTTCGCGTCCGCCTCTTCCTGCTTTGCTTGACGCTCAAGGTCGTCTCGCAGCTTCTGCTCGTACCTCTGTCATCAGCATGCCATTCTGAAACGATCTTGCTTTACCGATCCTCACCAGTGCCGGATAGGGCCAAGGCAAGCATACAACAAGGTACTGGACAAACAATCTATGTCTTCTGTGCATCTGACAGAAGCAGGGGTGCAGCAGCTGCTTCTTGACACGGCGCACTCCATTTGCCTTCGCGCTTCCTGCTCTTGGCGCTGTTTCGCATGGAAGTCCGAACCTGCAGCCACCCAGTGGAGGACGAATACGGTCATGTGACGCCTGAAAGCTGACAGCGTGCGCAGCTTCGAGGCCGCGACTAGACTCTTTGACAGAGAAGAACATTGGACCTAACCTCAAAACATCCAATCAAGGAAACGGCAGAAGACTCCATGTCTGGAGCTAGCAAAGCAAACTGCGGCTCGCTTCCTCACCTAGTGCGTTGTGGAGTGCGCAATCGAATCGACAAGCGCGTGTCGGAACATGCATTTGGCATTGTGATAGGAGCTCTGCAGGGCTGCGATAAGCCAAACACTCTGCAAGCCAGTATGGATCCACTGCCGTCACTGTCTGCATGTACTCCTTGACGGTGTACATGACCTGGCTGAAAGGAAGAGCGTGCTGTCTCAATAGAAGACACTCGACAATGAAGAAGCGCACACACACACACACGCCCGCGCATGTATACTTTCTCTGCATACATACACATGTATGTGTGTACATGTGTATACAGATACATGTATATGTATATATATATATAAAGACAGAGAGAGGGTGCGTCGATATACGGGCCCGTTTTTTCGAGTAAAACAAACGTTGATAAGCATGTGAAAGATTTCTAGAGGATAAGGTAGTATCGCCACTCGTAAGTAAACGCAGGTCTTGTATGGAGC